TATTATTCTTTTTGGTGGAATCAGGGATTGAACTGAGAACCTTGTGCTTGCCAGGGAAGCACTTATTCTACTGAGCCATCTCCCTGGCCCCTCATTATTATTATTGCTATTTTGTTTATGTGAGGATTTTGCCAGTCTTTAGGTCATGTTTTGAGTGGAGCTATTTTTCTAATATTTGAGGTCCAATTTACTTGGTGAATAAATATAAATATGCTCAGGCTTTTTCTTGAATAAATATAGTGCGCATTTTCTTTGCTTATGGAAATGATGACAGTTTGCATTACATTTGTCAACAGGTCCAGCTTTCTGTCATCATACATTTATTAAGACAGGGGCCCTGGCCAGTTTCTAAACACTGAGCTACAGAAATCAGGCAACATAAAATTCCTGATCCTCTGGCATTAGTGCAGTGTTGATGAATTTTGTAGTACACAGTTCTCACTAGTGATCTAGCTGTTTCATTCTAAAAGCATGGAGAAAAAAAAAAAAAAAAGGCTAAGATCATCTAGTTTTCTTTTTTTTCCCTTTCTGGAAGATCCTCCCTAAGGCCAGCTCTGATTCCTGCTTCTGTCTTTGCTGACTGCGGTGTTTCCACCCCGAGTGCTCAGAACCAAGGCTGAGCACCGGCCACGCTGCTCACGTTCCAGTTAACAGTATACCAGGACCGTGCCCGGTCTCTAACGGCCAAACGAACTTTAACCCCTCCGTCTGATCACAGCATCTGGGCAGAGCTCCTTCGCTTTTTCTCAGACTAGGAAGCTTTTGGTGACATGGATGTGGACGTAGTTACCGACCTTCCGAAGATTCATTTCTGCAAGCGTCTGTACCAGAGCGTTTGGTCCAGGGAACCAGAGTCACGTGGCTCGGGGCTGGTGTCTGACATTTGGTACTGTGGTTTCCTGGCTCAGTGACCTCAGGGACATTATGCAACCTCTCCAGCCTCAGTGTACTGCTCTGTAAATGGGAACGTTAATCATTCTTTCTTTCTGAGTTTGTATGAGGCTTAAAAGAGACAAGCTGCGTGCAGCTGTCAGTGGACTGCCTAACACATGTAAACCCTTCATATTTTAATGGCTATTATTAATAAAGGTAAACCACAAAAACATACAAGTCTCTATGTTTCATGTTCCTTGATGCCTCTATTTAAAAAAGGACAAAGCCTTTTTGCTTTTTAAAAGACGCTTTTGTGCTGAACACAAACTCTTCGCTTGCTATGGACTTTGACATTATGCCTTAGATTGCAGCAACCATGAATTCTACAGTTAGACGTAAGCACTCTTACAAATGAAAAAAGACATCTGCTTACACGCCCCCTACCATACTCACTTGTGAAGCGGGACTGGCGGCCCCCGAGCCCGCACTGCCGTACCTTGCACCCCCTGAAGAGCCCGTAGTAAATGTCCCCGAGGAACTTGACCAGCTCTGGATCCGTGGCATTGACCAGGTCCACGCCCGTCTGACAGAGGATTTTCCCACTCAGCCAGTGGGGCACGGCCAGGGCAACGATGAGGAGGAGGAAGGAGGAGAAGCTGAGAAGAGAGGCCAGCCCGTACCACGCCGTCTTGAACCATCCGGGCATGCTAGTGGGCGCGGGCGGTTGACATCTTCCGGACACTCAGCGATGCCCTGCTCCACGGCACCTCTTTCAAAGATAACATTTCAGCATTCGGCATCCATCCTGTCCTCCTCGCTCAGCGCCTGTCTTTCCAGCCCATGTTTACTACGTCCACATCCAAAGACTCTGCGGAGACAACCTCGCCAGGCTCGGGCAGCGGAGTGTGTTACCGAAGGCAGTAACCTTATCTCCCCACTTGACTAGAGTTTCAGCAGCGGGTTTAATTGTTTCTCTGCTCAGGCATTTAAACAACCCTGCGTAGACCTGGAATGGCAGGGAGTCACGAGCAATCGCACAACTGAAACCAGGTGGGCCCGAGCTAAAGCAGAGTTAGCAAGCCTTCAGAAACGCAAATAGTGGAAGGTAAACAAAATGCAATGATTCGCACTTGCACAAGGCCAGCTACAGACAGGATCAAGCGTCGAGCTCTTTGCTGGGTGCCTTGGCATTTCGTTCTCCAAATGTCACTGCTGTCAGAATCCGGGGAACTGCTATTAGTACGGTGAAGTAACCCCAGTTCCTAAGGCTTTAATTGAAATGCATAATAGGGGCTTTGGGATTTGTTGCTGAGCATATCTGCCCAGGGTAAACTTACAGCACGAATCTCAGGTCTGGGGGTCACAGCCAGGACCCCAAACCTTCACACCCTACTTCATCCTCACCTTCCGTGTCATCTGAAATGGGACAAAGCCTGTCAGATAGTCACCATTCTCCTGGAATATTTATCTCTTCTAAAAGGGAAGATTTATCTTTTCTTTTTTTTT